GCAATTGAAGCTACCGAGACATATTGTGCAATAATCCATCTACAATCTCTGTAAATTATTTTGAATAAAAGCCTCTACTAAATGGTTTTCATAAATCTCCTATATTGATAATTAATTTGCTTTAGAAAAATATTTAGTCACAAGTATTAGATCTATAGGGTTTGCTAATATATTCTGTTAATTCAAAAAATTCTTTTTGAATTTCCTTTAAAATACTGTACAGTGAAGAGTTGTAGATTATGAGCCATAAATGTACTTCTGTTTCTATGGAGAAGTTTCCTGGGAGGCAGGCACTGTCTCCAGAGCATGCTGATAAACAGGGTGGAAAGTAGGAGATTAGAATTGTGGATTGTGCCACAGGAAATTTAACTTCCCCTGTGAGAAAACTTGAACTGAATTTACAACAGGGACATGACACAACATAGTTTGACAGGCTGCATTTGTACCTCTTCAAGAAAGTGCAGATGTTCTCAGGCTTTAGTAGTCTGATCACAGGTTGAACAGAATTGCATTTGTTTTTTACTGATTATCTTATCAACAATTAAGAAATTGGTATACGTTTTATGTACTGTACATCAACAGATATGATTCTTTGTTTTTCAAGTGCCCCTGAACTGCTCTGTACATTGACATAAAAAGAATATTAAAACTGTTTATTTGTACAGTTGCACACATCATCAGAACTAAGGCTTCCTGCCAAAACATACATTTGACCCTTGTTTGCACAGTAAATTTCAAACACTTTATCTGTTTTTGTTCCAACATTGCAAGGACATTATACACAACATAAAGAAAACTAGGGAATTCATATACTGTATGTGTATACTGTACTGTATGTACCTCTATCCAAAAGCCTTATACATCTTAGACTTAAAGGAGTTAAAATATATACTACAGCATCACAAATGCACTCAAAGACTCCACTAATGTTTTCTATAGTTGTAACAGCTCTGTTATAACTACTTATGTATTTATAAGCTCTACAGGTAACTCCTTCTACAAATATGCTGATGACACTACCATCATTGGCCAAATCACTGCTGAGACAGCCTACAGGGATGAGATCAGGAACCTGGTGTAGTGGTGCCTTGACAATAACCTCTCCCTTAACATCAGCAAAACCAAAGAGCTGGTCATCAATTTTAGAAAGTAGGGTGGGGACCACAGCCCTATTCACATCAATGAGGTGGCTGTAGAAATGGTTAGCAGCTTCAAGTTCCTGGGGACCTACCACTGGTGTACACTGATGTTTTTTTTTCACACTGCTTGTCCAACTGATTTTTTGTAAGTTGTATGTTATTTAACTTGTTGCTGTTGCTGTTGCTGCTGCTGTTCTGTGTTTATGTTTTTGGTGATTCCTTTAATGTCTTTGTATTGGAGCATACATAAAGATAAGCATTTCATTGCATTTGTGCATATAACAAATAAACTGTAGTAGTTCGGGTGGGTAGCTGCGTCAGCATGCGTAGGTTGCAAAGGAACAAGTAATAGGTTTATTCCATGCTGAAAAAAAGAAAAAAGAAAACACAACGTTTCAGCCGTGGAGCCGGAACTCCCCCGGAACTTTAGTGGGGAGCACCTGAAGAAGGTTCCACAGCCGAAACGTTGTTTTCTTTTTTCTTTTTTTCAGCATGGAATAAACCTATTACTTGTTCCTTAACAAATAAACTGAACTGTACTTAATTTTAGAGAGATTAAATTAAGGTTTTTATCTTAAAATCACAGTGACCTGAAACTTAAAAAATGTGATCATAATATCTTAAGGTAAGCTATACATGAGCAGCCAATAAGAATTGTATCTACTGTATCACATTTATCAGTAAAAACGTATTGAAATATTATCTTTTAGTCTTTTCTTTTATTATTGGTTCCATGTTTGCCATTATTTGTTCATTGTCATACCTCCATAAAGCTAAAAGGCTACTTTTTTCACTACAAACACAATGTTCTTCCCTCTAAATGCGTAAATACAATTCATTGATGACCTTCCACTGACATTTGTGAAGAAATACTTTTTATTTAAGATGATAGATCTGTATTGATATCTAGTCTAGAAGATTAGACTCCAATCACTTATTATTAATGCAGGCAATATCCATCACTGAAAATGTGTTCATGCTGTTCAGGAATATTGTATTGTAATCCCACAAGAAAGGTTCTGTACTTTCCAGTTATACAGTACTTTATGTCCTATTTTTTATTTTTCTTCATTGTGTGCACACCATATACAATAGGTTTATGTTTTAATCTCTAGTTTAAAACACTCTACTAAGTGTTGTGCTCTGTAATGTAGTCAATCCAAAAAATGAAGTTAACTCAAAGTTTATCATTCCTAATATCATTATTTCTTCTTAATATTACAACTGTTACCATTATCCTACTGGACATTTGGAAGGGAAACACTCTGGGAGGTTGCACTCGATTCTGGAGGTGAGATGAAGAGAAGCAGTAGCAGAACCGAATGTTTCCCAGGCAGTGACAGGGGCTGTTTCTTCCTCAAAAGTGAAATGTTTGCATCAGAATTCTCCTGGACTCAAAATAATTCAATCCTGCACTGAGTCTCCCAGTTTGTCTGGGCTCAGCCCGCTGCTTAAGTATTTAATGGCATTGAGGTTTGGTTCTCTGCAAAGTGTTCAAGTCTTATCTTATCTCACACTACTATATTTGTCTTTAATTTATTGTAAGTTGCATTGGATGAAAGATTTAGCCTTAACAATATGAATATACTGTATACTGCCTATAAACATTGATAGCATGGTCATGTTTATTTACAGCTTTACATAACATGAAGTATAATCAATTTAGCTGCCTGTTAGCCAAGATTGGGGATTTTCTACACTGATTTCTAGAGCGTTCTTTCATGTTTCTTTGATAAAACTCGTCTTCCCCTGTGCAGTACAGTGAAGCACTCTACAGACTAATGGGTTTCTGTGGAGATCTTGAGAGATGCAGAGGAAATGCAAACACACATTTATTAAAACATCCCTTGATTGCTCAAGCAAACTCTTTACTTACTGAAACAGGATTTATACACAGGTAAGACAATTAACAAGGCAGGAATGATGGAGTATGTTTAATTAGCAAAATGAAAATGTTGGAGGAAGCAGGTGATGTTTTAAATGTTACTTTGTGGCTAATACAGCACATTCTTGAGCATTACACCTGATTTGATATGAGTTGCTATGAACATTTCCTCACATAAATTGGGTGAAGCTGTTTATATCCCAGAGTCAGATGAATGAAGGTTGTGAGCTGGGGAGTGGGAAGATAATAAGTAAGATAGGCACTGAGGCCATGTGACCTTATAACTCTAGTGAGGTATTAGGACCCACACAGACCTTCCCCACTGGTCTCACTGACATCCCTTCCAGCAGCATCCTTCTTTCCCAGGAAGGTCTCCCATCAAGGTACTGGCCAGGTTCACACCTGCTTAGCTTTAGTGGTCTGCCAGTTTCCGAGTCTCTGCTGATCCATATTATAAGTGACATGATATTTAAATAATAATGAAAGTTTATTCTTCAGTATCTAAAAAACGTTAATGAAGAAATAGCATTAACATTATATTGATTTTACTGCAGATTGAATGAGAAAATGATTGCTTGGACACATCTATTAAAGAAATATGCCA